AAATAATTACACAACACGGATCTTCTCAAATATATATATAAATATAATATATAAATATATATACATATACACTTTAGTATTTAGAAAGTTGTGATAGATAAAACCACAATATATTAACCATGTATTTCATTCTAAACATAATTAGATCCATAATGTTATAATTTAATAATTTTAAAATGCAACAAAATCCTTCCGATAATTATAAGATATATCTGGCTCAAGGCATTGTTATCAGTCAGTTTATCGGCCTGATCCACCCCTTACCCAAACATTGTCCACTGCCTGCTTGACAAGAACCAGAATCAGATGCACGGGAATGATCTGTTTGCCATTTCTCCATCGGGATTGCGAGTAACGTATTAACGAGTATCTGTTTGTGTTAGTGTGACGTAAATTGACAAACCCCAGCCTGTTTTGGCGGAGAACAATAGCTAGACAACACCTTCAAATGGCGCATGTCAAAAAGTTATCACCAGGGACTCCCTTGGCGCCAGGCGTGACGTCGTACAAGTACTCTACTTGGAAGAAATAGAACATTCTCAATGATCCCGCCGCAAAATGCGAGTCGATCGTTTAATTAGACTTCCTGTGAGTCCAGCAGACTTTGGATTAGCGGAACTGACCGCTACCAAACCAATACAACGCTGAACGGATGAGGTCGCTTGGGCAGTGAAGTCACGTGCATGTTATTTATCGTAAACCTATATATTTTCTCGCATTGTCCCTCATATTGTCCTCATTTCATTGTACATCGTCTCTCCGCATCCACACGCACTGTTGTGATAGTTGCTATGGTGATACTCTCGCCAGCCATACTTTAATTAAATTCCCCATATATATCATTCCTGTAACACGAAAATATTGTTTGCTTTTTTGTATTGCAGCAATGCTCTTTCAGAGACACAATTTTGTTTCTTTTGCTAACTGCTGAATAGCTTACATCAGGATTCTGCATAAGAAGATAAAATGCCCTTTTCATCTCAGACATTTGCTTTGTCTGTTACAGTATTTTGGTTGTGTTTGGAGTATTGCCTTTCGGCGTTAATGAAATTACGTATATTAATTCAGCTTCTGCAAGACTTTAAGTTGTTTTTACACAATATTCATTTCTTAGCTAGTGATGTACACCATTTAAGGAAACATTCATCAAGCTGGTCTCTGTGTATGTCTTGGTTACAATAGGAACTTACACTAACATAAGCATTGAAAGAAATTTGACCTTTACAGGATACTGCATTTATGAAGACAGAGAAAATGAATTTTTATTCTGCATGTTATATAAATAAGTCGACTTTTTTCAAGTTTATCATTTTCAACACAATTGACAACATCTCCCCACGTTTTCGAACATGACCTTATCATGAACTTAAAACATATCGTGTGATGACTGCAAGAGCAACCTCCTTATAGATTATCGACGTGCAGCAATAAAACTAGCATATGCTCTTTGATTATAAATCCATTTTTCTGAGCCACTAAGCGTAAACATAAATCCTCTCCATAAAAGCCGGTTAAACATAAATGCTGGTTTAAAATAATGTGTATATATTGTTTATAGCGAGATCCTAATTGAACGCCATGCCTACACTTCCAGTCGGGTGGAGCTTGTCTGTACAAAGCTGGGTGATAATGAGGATGGGCTAGCCACCAGTTTTCCTCAGTGACGATCCGGACAGGCGAGGAAATTGCTTGCAGAGACTGTTATACCGATAGTTAAGGTCTGTGAACACTATGAATAGAGACTAAGCGATGATGAAGTCCTGGCCCTGGGATTAAGGGGTATTTTCTCCAGCACTGGGCACATTATTCTGACTCGGCTGTGGCACTGGATGGTTGATCCTGCCATGGTTGAGCGACTTGGCCATCAACGCTACAGGTTGTACATCAATCACTCAACCCGACAAGTCTCCCGACTGTTCTGCTCCCACCTCCAGTCCAGCACACAATCAGCTGAACACAACCGAACAGTACTGAACACTGCGGTGAAGCAGAGGGTAATGAGCCGAATCAGATATAGCTCATGTTTTTATGATATATGTGTTTTCTTCAAGACTTCATTGTACCATTTCCCTGCCCGCATCGTCGTAGCTTTGTCATGGAAACCATTCGCCACCATTGAGTTTAGCGCTGCATTCAAGGTAACCATAAACCTACCCCGGGTATAGTCTATGTGTCACAGGCAGGGAGGTATGTTCAATGTTTGAAAGGGGAAATGAAGTCATTGACTATGTTATATATTCATACAGGGGAATTCAAGTAACTGACTCGAGTGTCACAATGCCCGACCTATTTTCCTTCATTGTAACACTTTAACTCGTCATTTTCACATAATGTCAACATTTAAAGGAAACATTTTCATCCACACTTGCACACTGATCTTTGAAGATATTCTATTGTAGTCTCTCACAAAGATGGGAAGATGACTTCATGTGATTGTATGATCATTAGAGCACAACGAATGCGAAGACACTGAGACATTCATGGGTAACTAATGTTTACTAACATTTTGTCTAACATGTTAAATAATGTCCCTTGTAGCAAAGCGCTACCTCTGTGGTTATGGAAGTACAATGTAGTTTAAAAAAAGATGTCTGATAGGAGTTGAGAATTCATGGTACTGATAAACCGTTGTATCAAAGAAACATTTTCCCATAAACATCACCATACGTGTTATGGAGTAGCAATCGCCCTACGTCACGCTTGCATATTTCTTAATAACATTTATGCCATGTAATTATCGAGTCTAATTCAGAGTGTTATTACTACACATTAAGCATATTCTTTCTTCATATAGCGGGGTTAACGATATATTAATATTCCAGTTATTCTTTTTACTATTCAAATAAAGAACATTAAGAATGCCAAATATACAATATGACGTCTGAAGATATTGATAAACTGATATAAGGTGTCAGTTTATTCCGGAAAGAAGTTAATGAGATCCGCATGCGAAAATCAAAACCGCCATGACAAGGAATCCAAAAAGCGAGATTATATTTTCGGCTGTATGTTCAAAGTCAATAGAAACAGTAGACAAAATGTATGCCCATCCTCAAAATAAGTAGACGTCTTTTAGGAAAAGGACATACCACCAATATGTTAAAATGTAATGCAACTTAATTCTAACAAATGCTAGTGTATCTTCGAACGGATCTATTTTCACAACTTATTTATAGGTTGTTTATTAATGAGGCGGATTTAAGATGGTCTTCATCAACAACCTTATATGACGCGCCATTTGCTTATTTGCTGGAGCGACACTGGCAAGGGTTTTGATTGATTTTTAAGTCGTATTTGGGTCAAGAAAGATTTTTGTGAGTAGGGATGTGAAGCAAGCCCGTGTTTCAATGTGCCTGTTGAACGTCTTGTTAATATTTAATACTCTAGGCAGAGATTGTTGCTGACAAGTTGGCTTGTCTTGATCAACTGAAATGAGAAGAATCGACTCTCAATAATCCTCTCACATCAGATAGGGCAAATCTGTGGCCTTCATGCATCCTGAATAGTTACCATTGTAGAACCATGGCATCGGAAGCAATATTCAGACCTTCAATGAATGTTTTATATTCATTTCTTCAATTAGAATTCGTTTAAAGTTTTTAAATAACATTATGTTTAACTTGGATTTGAAGATAAACATTATTTCATTCTATGGTATGTCATATATATTAAAGTAAGGATTATATATGTTTGAGTATTGTATTAACTAAAATTAATATTACACACAGCCTAAATGCCATACTGTACATTTCAATAAGTAAGAAACTATATTCAATTATGATTTTATATATTTTTTATTGTTATTTCATTCCTTCGTCTTTACTCCTGTATATTTTAAAATTGATTACATTTGTCATCTCTAACATAACCTTAACATTTACGAAAATGATATTTCAAATATCAGTACAGATATAAAGATAATGATTATGTCTGTAGTCGACACATTTCATAAAAACAGAACGGTGATTGTCTTTTGTGCTATTATAATGAAACTCAAGGCTTTGAATTTGAAGATATAAATTATTTGCCTCAAGTTGAAGTTCTGCCAGATAATTCTTATCTTGTTCTATTCAGAAGAGTGTATATCTCTAATGGAAAATATTATTTCAAAGAAATTTTAACAGTCCATCTTTGGGCGTGTAACTTCATGTATTAGCTGCGAAAACAATTTATCATGAAACATTAAACTTCAAAAACACATATTTTAGTAATTTAATCAACATCGTGTCAAGAAACATTTATGATAGATCCCTCTATCGCTGAACAAGAGTAAAATTGTGTCGGTAAAACGTGTGATTTATAAAGAAGTTTTTTGTGTCAATCAGGGGTCTGGGGGGAGGTGTACCTCCCTCTCTAAGATGAGGTGTCTGACGATGCGGGGAGGAGGGAGGGGGAGGAGGAGGGCCCCTTTCCGACATCTCGCGTTATCGCTCTCTCAATCTCGTCTTGGGCGGCTTGCTATTGTGAAGCTAGTAATCTCTAAAATAAACCTCGCACTTGAAAACAACCTACCGGATTTCAGACGGGGTACGAATTTCTTTTTGCTAACCAGTGCTACGTGATTGTATCAAATGAACGACATTTTGGAAAGCTTAAGGATTGTTTGAATTGTAAAAATTCAATATAATTGATGTCATAGCGAAAACGTGCCTATGCGCTGTGGCCATCTACGCGATCGCCCGTTAACGTGATTCTGAATACAGAGTGTCTCCTTCTCATTGTCCTCGGATATGAAAGGGCAAAATCAACAGCCTCACAATGTTCTGCTCATGTCCCCATGCTCATCGTTGGTAAATATATCGGTGACACTGTACAAACACCGGTGCCGACCCCCGTATCGGACCCGACAGCATATGTTACAGATTGGAATCTCGGTCCCGACGATACCTGGCCGTACGTGCTGTTACATTTCTATTGCGACATGGGGGCTGGAAAACAAACAATCTTTCAGTTTCAGTAAAATGCAAATGAAAAGGTAGGTGTAGGTATTCGCTACTCACTGTCCGCTGTGTCCCTGACTGTGAGGGGTCCGGTCACGCTGCCGGCGATTCTTGAACCAGTTGCTGACTTGCGTCAAAGTCAGTCCTGTTTTTTTGGCCAGATTCCGCTTCTCGTCTGGGGTTGGGTATCTGTTCTGTTTGTAACACTCTTTCAGAGCTTGTCGAGATTTCTCCTTGAAGCAATATACTGTCTCTTCGCCATCCCAGATTGTTTTAGGAAGAGGGAACTTCCTCCTTAGCCTATACTTATCGACAGCCCCGAGAGGTCTTCCGCGTATCTTCTGAGCCTCCATGTAATGCGCTTTATACCACAACTGCTGCAAAAACGCATGATTAGAGCTTTCAAAACTGTGACTCTCTAAGATAGCATAGAGTTCCCTGTAACTACCCCTATGAAAGGCGACCGTTGCTCTTGCCTTAAGCACGGCTTCACTCCCTCGTAATAATTCACTCGGAGGAAGAGACCAGAGGAATCGAGCTAGTCTTTCTATGTCTCCTTTCTGCTGTAATGCCTCACAAACACACGCAACCTGTTCAGGAGAAAAAGTCAAATTTTTGCCGGCTAGTAATTCCGAGTTAGATGTTGAAGATGGCGATTTTACATCTGTGGATCTGTTGTTGGTGGTGGTGTTGTCAGTTGCCGTCACTGTGTTGTGGACGTCCCCACCCCCTACTGTCGGGTCCCCGGGGGTGAGGATAGAATCCTCGGAGTCCCCATTCAGACAGGTGGGTGCCGTTACGTCTGGGCTGAGACTTGGTTCCATGTGCGATGGACTTGGATCCATACTCTCTGTGACAGCTAGCCTCGTGCAGCAGACACAATGTTTACCCGCGTGACTGCAGTGCAGGAGAGCTCATGCCGAACACTTTTATAATTACCAACTAACTGGAACGAACAATTCTCATTGGCCGACGGGGCGTTCACTCGACACATCTGTGAAAGCGATGGGCGGGGGCCTCTCAGCACCACAGCCTATCACGCCTTTGAACGACCAACACAGTGATTCAGGAAGATATTTAATTGAAGGGGGACGGTCCCGGTAGGAAATATATAGTTCTCCATCACACTCGGACACTACGTGAAATGAGCTGGAAAATAGCAAAGGAAGTCTTTGAAATAATTGATTAAAATTTGATTTTATCTTCTTTACCCATGATTATACCTGTAAATCACCAGGTCGGTGTGTGGATTATTCTGAAACCTCTGTTCCGACAGTGTTGACAGATGCTGTTGCACAATATCAACGTTGCAAAATTGACGTGATTAAGAAAAGTTGGCGATTTGATTCGTGTTGTCGTCGCATTTTTGTAGCTCTAATGTACGTGACACGCGCCGGCTATTATATCAATCTCACACGTGACACGTGACCTCACGTGTGTCACATAAACTATCACTTTGGACGACGTTTTCGAACATGGTGGACGTCCAAATGATGAAGTTCCTGATTAATAACGAGACTATGTAACACTTCCGTATCCGGTCATCGTATTATGCAGTAATGCTAAGTGGTGGTGGGGTAGTCCAGTGGTTAAAGCTTGAGAGCGTCAAGCCGGAGACCTGGGTTCGATTCCCTCTTGGGTATACGTACATTGAGTGAAGTCCATTTCTGTTGTTCATGGGCGTGATATTGCTTGAATGTTGCAAACACGGTCTTACTCACTTAAGCACTCACTCACTCACTCACTCACTTGACGATCTACCTGATATACTTACTATTTGCCTTGGTAACCGAAACACACAGTAACTAACTAATAACAATTAATTTAAGACAAGCTGATTGACTTTCTATGATATAGATCAATAACTACACTAGATAACTGTTGACAAAATATATTCAAAAGTAAGAACCGGAATGACAAAAATACAACATGTGAAAAATAATACTCATCAAAGCAATCTTATCCCAATAGATTGATGCTCGATGTTAATCACTGGATTGTCTGGCCGAGACTCGATTTTTTACAGATTGCCGCCATATAGCTGGAATATTGATGAATGTGGCGTAAAACTAAACTCACTCACTCTAGTCATGTATACTACCCAAAAGAGCTTAGACAACATGTTCTATCATATTACTACATCCAGTCTTTCACATAGAATACCGATTATTTAATATAACCATGGTTGATTTAGCATGACATATTAACTATGATAATATGAAATTGAGTGTTCTTCAACTTCCTATCATCTGGGGGCGGTGGGGTAGCCTAATGGTTAAAGCGTTGACTCGTCACGCCGAAGACCCGGGTTCGAATCCCCACATGGGCACAATGTGTGAAGCCCATTTCTGGTGTCCCCCGCCGTGATGTTGCTGGAATATTGCTGAAAGCGGCGTTAAACCAAAGTCAGTCAGTCAGTCCTATTATCTGTATATCTCATGAAGCCCACTTCTTGTTTAACTTTGTTGTCCTTGCCTGAGGGATCGCTGAATTTATTGGGCTGAACTTTAAGAATTACTTCAACAGTGACTTTCAATAAACGTCTTTAATTCCTCCCTCTTTAATACAAACGAGCTCTGAAGTACTAGCTATTAAAGTATCTTATTAACCCAGTTCTTCAGTTCCAGAAACATGCCAGTATCACAGAACTGGTCGTGAAACAAGGACATTTTAGCATCATGGTTATAACGATAATTACACCTTTAAGCTGAACACTTTGAAACTGAGGTAGTATCCGTTTTCAAATCAAATTAAATGGTAATACTTTTACGTCAAACTTCACTTTGATACAACACCCTAATTTGAGTAATAAGAGTGTATTGTGTACATTGTTCATCTGCAATGTGAATGTACTATTGATAGAGCATGCATAAGATATCGGATTTTGTAAATTGTGGTATTATTCGGGGATTACATATCTGCAGAGTAAATAAAATGTCAGCTACGAGTTTCATTCATTGTGAATATATTTGACATAATCTGAAAGTGCGACCCTCGGATATATATCCTTGCCTCTAAACACTTGACCTATTATGAAATACTCATGGGCAGGATAATTATCCGAAATATATCCGATTGTTATATATAGCAACCAAGGAGATAATATAGGCGGTTGCCTAGTGATGATTGGCGGCGTGTAGACTTGACTTCCGACAAGGCAGACGCGGTGTACTTGAAAAGTTAAAGGTCAATATCACTTGCCGCTTCACAACTGACTTTGTTAACATTGTGAGTCTAAGTAAAATATGTTACAAACCGACATTATGTGACACACAATGCTACAACACTACAATACATTGTCCATTGTATTGTAATTTGAGTAAAAGGGCTTTAAAATCACTTTTATAAAAGTGAGTACACTATCCAACTTAAGATGATAATGAACCACCAACAGTCTACAGCTGTAATAACAGTGTAACACTAGTGTTTGACCTTTGGGTATCATAACTCATTCATTATATTCATGAGACTTCAATATCCTTGAAAACATCAGGTGTTACAAGCAGGTAACCCACATCCCATTCAATGCAATAACACCACCGTTTAGCTAGTGGTGACACCAGGTGTTCAAATCTCTGGTAATGTACCATTGCAATGATTACTTCGACGACAGGCAATTGATGTACATATGTATTATGTATAATTATACTTGCAAATATCATTATCCCGACATGTAGATTAACAGAAAGCGAAGAAAACAAATTATACAATTGAATTGATAAAAATACATGACAAATTTTAAACCGTAAAAATACTTTATACAGAAGCGAGATCACGGGGAGGTCAACAGGGGAGATCAGGTATCATGTTCACTTAGATAATTTGCATTTGGGTCCGGACCAGTTCCAAAGAAGATTGAATTCGCTATAATTTTTAATTATTTTAAAATATTAAATTCCAGACCTTGGAAATCCCCTCGACGCGAACATGAATTTATCCCGAATGCTCTTGATAACCCACCTCATTTGACAAAGATAACAATCATATCACTTCAATATCGATAACTCCGTTGGATATTAAATGCATTTGTAAACAGAAAGACGAAAACCCTAAAAGTCAATAATGGTTCTGAGAGGGATGTCTTTTAAGCCATGGTATCACTCCGTGCTGCCTTCACATACGATTGTTCATAAAAAACCATACTATGGAGGGACGAGATAAATTGGATCCACAACGTTTATGCTCTGTTTCATCATTTTGTATCAGATGATAATCCGGCGCGCCAAGCACATTGTGACTGTCATGCAGGTATCATTAAATTGAAACTGCCTCCAATTTAAAATATGATATCTAATAAGCATGCACATTCAGAGAATATCTTTTTACAGGTATTATTGTACCTTCTCGTCTTATTATGGACAGAATATCTACTGTCCAGATACTGACCACCTGCTTCCAATGTTCTTTATAACAGTAGTGAAGACTGCCTCTGATATGTAATAGCATGCAAAGAAATAGAAATGAAATAGAATTAGAAACAGAATTATGTTATTTACGAACAAGGAAAAAACGCAGTCTCTTTTCCATCTTAATGATCAATGTTCCTAATATGGAATAGTGTCAGCACGACAAAGACCTGCATATTATATAGAGAACGTGGCATTCTGATGGGTTTCTGCACGATGCGACAAACGTATGTTAAGATTTCTACAAGAATATGGCAAACTCCTTCAGACTTATTTCAGTCGTGACTTTATATGACACAAAATGCTACATCACTACAAATACATTGTGCATTGTGTTGTAATTTCAGTGAAAATGCTTTAAAAATCATTTTAATAATTGCGAGTACACTATCCAACTTTACACCAGGAAATGTTAAGATGATAATGAGCCCGTCAACAGCTGCTATAACAGTGTAACATTAGGTTTGATCTTCGAGTGTCATAAATAAGGAATAACGTCACCACAAAGACAGGCAAATTATTCCGAGAACGTGGTATTCTGATGGGTTTCCGCACGATTCGGCAAGCATATATGTAATAGAATTTCTACAAGAATGTGACAAACTCTTTCTGAATAACGTCATTTGGGAATTGATCTCGCCAAAAGACGAGATTATCTCTGCATCCATTTTATTATGGTATATCAATTCTTCTAGTTACTTACATATCGTCAACACCGATTTGTATATACAGCATACGTATTGTTTGTTGTTTTACGCCGCACTCAGCAATATTCCAGCTGTATGGCGGCAGTCTGAAAATAGTCTAGTCTGGACCAGACAATCCAGTGACCAACATCTTGAGCACCGATCTGCGCAATTGGGATACGATGACAATGTCTCAACTAAGTCAACTGACCACCCGATCCCGTTAGTGGTCTCTTATGTCAAGCAATGGGTCACTGAAGACCAATTCTAACCCGGATCTTCACGGGTCTACTGTACACATAAACTGTACATGTGTTACCTAATAGGTTTGTGATTTTCACCTTGTGTTGATTATTATATGGTAGAATATAGCGTAAACTACGGAACGTACAAAATTTACTTTTGTAAAACATTGTTTCATATCATATCCTGATTGATTGTGCAACTTAAGGGGTCTTGACGCATATACTGTTTACTTGTGTTTATTAATGCACGTTTTGGAGATTGGAGATTATGTCATTCTAATATTGCTGAATATACCTTGATGCGTGAGTTTGTTTAACATCGCTTTGAATAATACTTCACTTAAACCAGGTATTACTGTGGAATTAAGACATGAATGATGTAGATTGTAAACGTGTACAACCGCCACGGTTGTAGTACTGACATACCATGAGACAATCTGCTCTCAGATTCGAACCCGTGATAGGCGGATCCTGGCGTCATTGAGAGTGAGTGAGTGAGTGAGTATGGTTTTACGGCGCTTTTAGCAATATTCCAGCAATATCATGGCGGGGAACACCAGAAATGGGCACATTGTGCCCATGTGGGGATTCGAACCCGGGTTTACGGCGTGACGAGCGAACGCTTTAACCACCAGACTACCCCACCGCCCCTGCGTCATTGAGAGAGGATAATGTAACGCAAAGTGTCATAGTGAAGATGCGGATCCTGACACGAGTAAGGAACACAACTGGATCATTCATGTCCCTTTTTTATGATAGTATTTTTATTTTGAGGCTGAAGCTTATTTGCGACAGCGAATGTACATATCCGTGTATGTGTCCAGCATGCGTTCTTTTATAATTCATAAACAGGGACCGGAATACTACGTACGTATCGAAGTTCTGTCTCATCAATACACTCGCTCTTCTTCTGCGGGTCATACTGTACTTTATAATCAATAGTAGATTTTCATGGAACCCACCACAGACAGCACAAACCTTGGTAACATGCTGGAACATATCTCGTCGAGAATGTAGGACACGTAATTGTTTACAGTTTCTCATCTGTTACGGATTTAGTTTTGTCTTTGTCATTTTTTGTCGAATTTTGCCTCATTGATATAAGATACGTTGAATGT